GATTCAGTTATTAAAATTTGTTTTTGAAAAGTTTTTCGTTTTGAATTTAAATTTAAAAATATTAATTTTTAATAAATAAGACGAATAAGTATTATTTTTATAAAAAATAATTATTTTTAATTCATTTTTATTTATTTTAAAATTAAAATTCAAAAATTTTAATTTAAAATTTTGAGATTGTAGTCATTTAAAACACTTCTTTCAAGGCATTAATTATTACCCAGTTATCGACCACACAAAGTAGATTACTTTTTAGATGTTATTGTATGTTGAGCCAGCAGGACCAGTCTTATGGCTCTCAGTCTAATATTTTTAAAACCAGATAAACAGCTTGTTCTCAAAAATTTTCCTCATCAAAATTATGTGCAAAATTAACTTTCACAGACTATACCGAACAGGTCTCTAAATATGGTCTAGATGTATATTAAAATAATTTTTATACACTATATACCCCGAGAAGCAAACGATTTTTTAGAAGTCAATGTCAATGTACGTGCATGGAGCCACGGTAGGACAAGAACCGTGGGCATGTGGCTCTCGAGTCTAATCTCATCAAAACTGAGGAAACACGTTGCACAGAAAAATTTCTTACATCAAAATCATGTGCGAAATTCTTTTAAATAAAAGTCATATGCAAAATTCCATTTCAAAAAAAAAAAAAAAATCATGTTCAAAAAGAGTAATGACAGGGAGGAAGACAAAAATTTGTGATTAATAATATGATTTATATTATATTATTAAATTAATTAATATATATAATGTTATAAAAAAAATTTTTGTTGTATAATAAAAGATAATTATTTTTCATCATTTTTCTCACCACACCTGTGTACTATGCATCTCAAATTTAAGATTTTTTACTTCTAACAGAAGAAGATAATCACTAAATTATTTAAATCGTTGATTAAATTTTTAAAAAATAAAAAGAGTAATATAAAGTTTATTTTTTTTATATTTTAAGTGACATAATTGATACTATATTATTAATCATAAATTTTAATCTCAAATTTTGATTCCCTTTATTATTATTTTCCAAGCAAAATTAATTTTCATTTGAGAGTCCATTTGGTTTGTAAAAAATAATAAGTAATTAAAAAATATTTTTTCATAAAAAAATATTTATTTTATAAATTATTTTTTAATGATTGGAACAATTTAAAAAAAATTTTAAGAAATATTTTCAAATGGTTAGTAAGCAATTGAAAATCTCTAAAATTTAACATAAACTTTAGCAATTTAGGTAACCTAAATCAATTAGGTACATTTTCTCCCTTTTTATCCACTGCTCTACTTGTTCATTTTCCTCCTTCCCTAGTCATGCTATTGAAACAATAGCAGTAACAAGAAATTTTTATAACATCCACCTGTTCATCCTAGAAAACCACTTTATTACACCTATTAGGGATTGGGCTTGAAAGTCTTGGGTCTTTGGGCCTATAACCACTTTATTACACCTATTAGGGATTGGGCTTGAAAGTCTTGGGTCTTTAGGCCTATTGCGTACTTGTTCCCGTAAGGACGCCTCTTCAGGATTTAAACTCGTGGCCTCCCTTAAGAGTTCTTGAACGAGCGCCTTGGTGCCACTTGAGTTAAGAGGAACAAATACGTAATAGGCCCAAAGGCCCAAGGCTTCCGAGCCCAATCCTTAACAACACCTCTACTAGACTATCAGCACAACTCCTCTCAGACAAAAAAATCTAATAGTTGGTGTGCATTGTCAAAGGAGACCCTAATCTTCCTAAACTCATTTCTCAAAACCCAAAAACTCAACTCAAGCACTCAAGACAGCAACAAGCATTATATTATCCATGATAAAATAAATTCCAATCAATTCCAGTTCTTCAATGAAATAACTAAAACCCAGCAAAGAAAAATGGCGTGGCTTTAACAAAATTGGCATGATTTCAAGTAGTACATTGTATGTTCGCACGATACATCTGCTTTTTATACGTCTACTCTATTTCTTGATCTGCCCAACATGATTAGGACACTGTATTTCATGGGTATTGTGTGATGACGAAGGATGTTTAGGACACTGTATTTTCGAACAAAAATACAGTGTAGATTCCGCGTGTTTTTAAGGAAAACAACTACGAAATTTTTGATCCGGAAGTTGTTTTACGAGATTTTCCAAAGCAAAATTTCCGGTTGACTCCCAATATTTTCTGCTAACCACATTTTCCTAAGTGTACCAAACATAAGAAAATGCGGAAAACATTTTTCGGAAAATATTTTCTGGCAACCAAACGGACTCTGAGATTAAAGTTCAGCACTGCAGAAAACCAGAAGCAAGGGAAGAAGGAAGCCTTTTCTTTTTTCTTTGATCGGATATGAGAGAGAGGTGTTTGAATTATAAATAAGAATTATAGATTAATCATGTGATATTAACTATAAATTAACATTTATTATTTAATAGAAATTTGTTGACTAAGAAAAATTTCACATTGAGTACGTGGATTAAATATAAGATAAATTATTTTATTTATGTAAATTTTGTATAAAGTCTACTTATATTAATTTTTATTTAGTATCAAAACCTAGACTTCATTTTGGAGAAACTTGTTGCTTACTCATCCAACAAGACTTGAAGTTAATATGAGTCTAAGTAAGGGCTTGTTAGGCCATGTAACAGGAATCAATGTTTATAATGGGTTTGCATGTGAGAAAATGTGTTAAGTAAGAAAATCTCACATTAAGTATGTGAGTTAAATATGAAGAAAATTACTTCATCTATTACTAATTAATTTTAAAATAGATACAAATCTAATATTAAAATTTACGTGCACAATTTTCACAAAACTAAATTAGATAAGAGCTAGCACTTAGTTTAGAAAGCTAATTGACTATACATATTTGCAAAAGAATACATTCTCAATCTTAAGTGTTGGGTTCAGATCTCTCCTTAAATTTATATCTGTTTAAAAAACAAATAACAAAAAACAAAACAAAACTAGATGAGAGCTAAGTGTATTCATTATTTCACATTTGACCTATAGTTAATGTTGGAAATTGTGAGTAATTCATAATTTTAAAGTTTAGGTAATGTTGTGAATTGTGAAGTCCTGACTCATAATATAGATTCATGATACATTGAATATATGTATTATGGGAACATGAATGTGCCTCGAGGTGTGAGTGGAGAAATGAATTAGCAGATTATGTTACAATATACTAGATTTTTTTTTTCTTTTGACAAGTATTTTCATTAGCAATGAAAATTCTACAACATAAAAGTGTTGTGTAATTTAAAATATTTTGTATAACACAATTTCAATCATTAAATTAGAAATAAATCATTTGATATTTAAGATTATTATCTATTTAATAATTTTTATTTTATAGTTTGAATTATAAAATACGATATGAATAATGTACCAGATTTAATGTGGTTGTACAGACACTCCAACTCTAATCGGTTTGGCCCATGCTTCAAACTGGTGAGAAGAAGAAATGCAGGATCCGTTAAGACTTGAAATGGGCCGGCCCATCAATTTAAACAAAAAAGGAAACCACAATTGTTTCCTTGGAGTAGCAATAGCATAGTTTTCTAACGAATCAAGATAACCCGTTTTCTTTTTTTTCTTTTCCATGAGAGCATTTCATATGCATGTACATTTATGTTTGTATAAATTTCAATTAATTAATTCGTGCATCAACTATAATTTACAGTAATAATCTCAATCAGACATGAGATGGAATGATTAAGCTAAAAACTAAAATAGATCAATAACTGGAAGCAAAAGGTAAATGCAAATAAATATACTTTATATTAAAGCTAGTAAGCTACCCAATTTTAAAAGTAAAACAAAAAAAAAAAAAAAAAAAAAAAAAAAAAAAAGAAAAAGGCGTAAAACAACAAAAAGTGGTAGTAATTTTTAAGTAGAGCTTTATCCAATTATAGATTATATTTACACTATTTTATTTATTAAGATTTTGTAGAATTATGGTAGGTGCACATTTATATACAAACATAATAGCATAGGCAATATTTGGACGATCTAGAAATGAAGGAACCAATTGGTGTTTCATCACCAGCAAGTTCCACCAGCTGTGTGTTTTAAAAAGGCACACCGACTAGCCGTGGACACTCAAACAGTACTAGGGGCCAATAGACTGGTTCGACGTCGAGAACTCAGATGGATTAATTGGAAGCCACCAGAACCAGATCACCCTTTTCTGAAGCTAAACATAGATGGCTCCTTAGACCAAAATTTTGGCATGGCAGCAGTGGGAGGGCTGCCAAGGGATTGCGTGGGGTCTTGGATACAAGGCTTTTCAGTTAACATCAGCAAGGTCTCAATTTTGTTGGCTGAATCATGGGGCTGTAGAAAAGGGCTAAAATTGTGTAAAAAGTTGGGAGTTACACACTTAATCATTGAGATGGACTCTCAAGTGGATGTGAATGCTATCTGTTCGGGCATAGACATGGATAATCATGCTGCAGTCCTGGTTGCTGATATTCGACGGTCGCTACTTGCTTTTGCCTCCTGTACTGTTCAACACATTCTTCGTGAAGGGAACTCAGCAGCAGATTTTTTGGCTTCGGTGGGCTACTCATTACCAATGGGAACTTCAAGATTTGCGCAACCAGCAGCGAGAGTGGAAGACATCCTGTTAGCGGATAGGCTAGGCGTTCCTTTTATGCGCCCTTAATTTAAATTGTCTCTATGATCCAATGAGTCAAAAAACATAATAGCATAGGCTATGTAAATAATTACTGGAGAATGCTTTAAACAAAAGGCAATATTGATAAATCTGGCAAAAAAAGGGCACATGAAACAATTTGGTAAGATTTCCTTCAATATTGTAAACTGGATAGTGGATATCAACTGTCGAACTTACCATTCCTTTGCCATTCCTATAACTATACAACAGAATTTGCTTTTCCATTGTCTTAGAAGAACTGATCATTGCATTCATTGCCATAGAGCTGACTGAGCTGAGTTACATATACAATTCTTATGACTGTAACATCAAATCCAATTTTAGATTCTTAGCAGGGAAGGTCACCATAGCGGAAAAACAATAACAGTACAATTTGTATCAGGATCCAGCCACAGTGTAAGTGGAAATATATACTGAAAAGTGAAGAGGCAGGTAGTTGGTCTTCTGAGGGCAATCTTCTAAATATTTTCTCTATTTTCCGAAGCAGTAACTCAGTCGCTTTCAACTTTGTTTACCCCAATAGAGTTCCTCCCTTAACATATCTGTGTACATTTAGATCAAACTAGAAAGTCGAATAAATTTCCAAGAAGAGAAGTACTACATTCAGTCATTATTATGGCCATGAAGAATTAGAGTTACATTCTAGAATATATCACCGTAAGATCTAGTTTGAAAACAGGGCCCTAGAAAGAACCTATTGTCATGTAGGAAAAATTGGAGAGAAGTATGTTGCGAGTATTTAACAGAAAAGAGAACATAAGAAGGATGACTCAAGCTGATCTTAGAAAGGCAAGACTGTATGAACTTATTTCTTACCACCAGTTCAACTTTGAAAAGATTAGAGCTAAACGTGTTCCAAACGATACAGATTTCTTCAAACAACCTAAACAAAATACCTTAGAGAAGATATTAAACACAGAATTTAACCACAGTGAACAAATGAATGTTTCTCATAGCAATCCTACATCTGGTGTGTTTCGAACAGCAATTCCCACCTTCACCAGAGGTATCAACTATATTTCCCACAATAACATGTCTCTCTCAATGAACACCTGATAACAGTGCCCAATCATCCCGAATGATATGAACTTATGATGGCAAAGAGAATACAAATATCAAAAATGTTAAGTGACAACCAAAAAGACCAAGACTGGCCGGTTAGCAAAGTTAAATCAAATAAACTGGTGAATTGTAGGTGCTGAAAAGTATGACAGTCTTAACAGTTTCAGAAATCAACCATATTAAAACCAGTCTAACTAAAGAAAACCCAGCTTGGCAGTTGGCAGTTGGCGCATTATTTCATCTAAATTTCCAACTTCAACAAGAAAACGGTCATTAAAAAAATGAAAAGGCAAGTACAGAGCTGGCCTCCTTCACCACAATTAAAAGCAAAAGGTACATACACATTTCTAGAAGGGGGAAACATTCAAACCAAGAGAACGCTCTAGAGACACAATCAGATCTAGATCTAGACAACTTCAATTTAAACACTAAAATTAATAACAAATGAAGGAGGGAAAACCCCCAAAGACTCGAACCCTAAAATCAAGCAATTCATGTACCAACTTAAAGCTTGGACAAATTGAAAGCTACCCACCACCAACACCACCACACATAAAGTAAAAAGATATGGTAATTTGACTTGTATTCTACTGACATCTAGAAGCATTCCCTCCCACAGAAAGCTTCCTATAGTTAATAATTACCCAAAAATATAGACCTTGTCATGCAATTGAAATTGTCCAAACAAGAATCATATATATATATGGTTCGTGTGGCTAATTAATATTACCACTCTCTCAATTTATATCAAAGGTTGTTAAAATAGCAAAACTACTATATTCCATCTTTTCTAACCCTAAGATAATTGGAAAGGCTAGATCTTTTCCGAAAACAAAAAGGAGTAACCTTCATCAATCTCTAACACGAGTCATGTTAATTATTATTTTCCAGAAATCAATTTTCTCCAACAAAACAGAACACAACTTTCAGAATGATGATCTCCCCATATACCATATCCAGACATACGAATCAGAATTCCAAATCTTGAATATCAACGTTTTTAGCCGAAAAAAAAAATCCAAAATACAAAAATTTGCTTTTTCTATCATCACAATCTATCCATTTTCCCAACATAGCCAGCTCAAAATATCGTCATTTTCAGAAGATACAATCAGAAACACCAGATCAAGATCTATCGATAACTAATTCACTTCTCATTATCATAACAACTAATTGATTTAGAAGATTCAAGATATCAATAGAAAACGATCTAATCGAACAAAAGAACTCCTAAATCTAATAGATATGGAGCCAAATCATAAATAGTCGGCAATCAACCAAAATCCAACCTGAGATCTGAACAAAACAGAGAAAAAATAGATAGATCCATGCAACCTTCACCGCGGTCTCCGATTCAGTTGATGCAAGGCGGGATCCAATTCGCTTCCGCCAGTCACCGCCGCCGCGGTCTGGCCAAAAAAACAACAAGGGGGCGTCAACTTACATGACATAGCCAATCAGTTCCCGACCTGCACCAAGCGAATTAGAGACCGCCGGTAACTAAAACCAATCTCTGAACCTTCACCGACGTAGGAAACGGAAATGGAGTGTCGTTTTTGCTTAGAAACCGCAGGGAGACGAAACCCTGTCCCTGCGTTTTATAACCCTATCCGTGGACTGGGGTTTAGGGGTGTCTGAGCCGCTGCCCCTCTGAGGGTTATTTATATTCCCAACAGTTGAAAGATGCTCTGACACGTGTCCCATCACCGACTCTGTTTCTTTTTCTTTTTTTTTCTAAAAGAAAATACTGTTTCTTAAATTGTACTGTTAAATATTAATAATTAAACTCCAATATGGGTTTGGTTGGGTGTGGATCAAATTTAAAAGTTTAAAATTATTTATTGTTGTAAAGTTAACTTTTTGATGTGCTAAAAAAACTTAAAAGTTTTTTATATTATATTTTTAGAATACAGATGAAC